TCCAACTCCGCATTGTCCTGCCACCATCTCCTCACCAGGCTCCAGGGTGTCAGTCAGAGTTCTTGACAGGGGGAGAGAACATTTTGGAATCACGTGAAGAGCTTTCTCTAAAGAAACATGGCCTCCCCCAATTCTCCATATCCTACGGATTTCTGAGACAGCATTTGGGGTGTGTAGAAGAGGGAGCATATGTATTTTGAAAACCCAACTATGTCTCTTCTACTTTCTTCTGAGGTCAAAAATAACCAGACCTTAAAGTATGCCTCCCAGATGTGAGCATTGTTTCCACCTGTGGTCTAAACGGTCTGGAGTAGAGAAGGCTACCCTCCTTATTTTAGGGACTATACTTTTGTTAATACAGCCTAAGACAAAATTATGTTCTTGGGCAGTCTTATCATAAAATTAGCAAAACCATGAAGTCCTTTTCCCACCTATATTGCTACTTGGCTATTCTACTAAACTTGACTTAGACTCCTTCTTTAAATATGTTATTAAATAATGTCTGTCAACTATTAAATATTTACTTACTGTGTCTGTTGTTTCAATCTGCTGAGACCGTTTTGCATACGGATTCTGCCAAGGCCTATTTCAACATTTCAGTGAGATTAAGAAATAGGTGCAGTGTGCCTGACAACTGTCCCAGAGAACATACCGCCATATTCCGGATCTGCTGGCCTGCCAGACTCTTCAGGTGCTTCAAGAGGGCTCGATAAGTCCGAGCTTTCTCCTCCGGGAGCTCAGAAACCCTTTCAGCCAAGATGTCCTTCACCTGGGCCAGACTGCAGCCAGCACCTATTGTCAGTCCTGGAAAGCAAATTGTTTTCGTAGGTGAAGGAGCAGCTGACTAGTAATCATGGCGCCAGGGCCTTCATGTTTGACTAATGCAGTGACTCTCCACACGGGCTGCACAGAGGGTCACTAGGTTCTCAAAAACAGCATAGATGCGCCCCTCTCCCAGGCCAATTAAATCAGAGTCTCAGTGTGGGGCTTTATACAAGGCTCCTCTTGTAATTCTTCTGTGTAGTCAGAGTTAGAAACCCCTGGGCTGGTCTACGCTTTTTTTTTTATTTTTTTATTTTTTGAACAAACACAAGGGAATAGAAGCTAGAGAGAAGGACTGACGGTAACAACCAGCAAGTAGCAGATCTTACTAGAACTTTCTATGACGCCCTCCTGACTGACCACAGTGAATCTATGCAAAGATGTTTGGTAATTAAGGGGGAGAAATCTGATGGCATTAAAATAATGGCAAAGGTCTTTCAATTGCTTAGGTTATTGTCTAAAATCAATAATGCTTTGACTGCTGATATGTACCTCTATGGTAGTCTCGATATTCAAAATCTTCAACAACAAGTCCCATGAGGGGCTCTGGACGATCGGAAATCAGAATGAACACGGCCCATGTGAGGAGCTGCCCTAGGTATTCTGTTGGCTGTCGTTGGGCGTGAGGCTGTCGAGGGTCCCCAGAGAGGGGCCAGGGAAGCAGGAGCAATGGGAGAGCAATCAGGAGGTTTGGGGCAATGCTATTTGCTACCTGGCAAGGAAGTAATTCAAAAAATTTAACAACTATTGCATCCATACTTGTGACATACTTGTGATTATTGGCAGGATATTAGCATGGTCTTTGGGGTTTCTCTATAACAGAAATGCAAAGGGTTGAGATCAATCTTTGAAAGTGAAGAAGTCACCCAAACCATCAGGAGATAACTTAGTTGGCTGTTTAAAATTAATCCTTCACTCAGTATCAGGTTCAGAATGTTTCCTTACGTTCCTAGTTTGTTCTGAATTTATATCATAAATGGTTGTTAAATTTTTATTAAATGTTTTTTCTCCATCTATTTAGGTGATTATGAGATTTTTCTTTTACTATGTTAATGTGATAAAGTAAATGATTTTCCAATGTAAAGTCTTTCTTATATTCCTGAAAGTTTACTTGGTCATGATAAAGACATTAACCCTTCACTTCCCTGGGGTTTGCAGGACGAACCACTAACACATAGAGTCCGATCACGTCCAGGGCTGGGTTCTAACTGCAGTTAGTCCCTTTTTATCAGGTTGCAGGCTATGCTTTCATTTTTCTCTTGTGGATTAAATTTTTTTTAATTAAGTTTATTGGGGTAACATTGGTTAATACAATTATATAATTTTCAGGTGTATGTTATAATTTAACATTTGTATATTCTATTGTGTGTTTACTACCCAAAGTCCAGTTTCCTGATTGATGAGTATTCTTTCCTCCTCCCTCCCAGCTCCCTTCTTCTCTCGGATAAACGCTAGACTGTTGTCCATGTCCATGTCCATGAGTCTCTGTTTGTTTGTCTTGTTTGTTTGTTGCTTTTAGCTTTATATCCCACATACAAGAGATATCATGTGATTTTCAACTTTTTCTGTCTGGCTTATTTCACTTAGCATGATTATCTCTAGTTCCATCCATGTTGTTGTAAATGGCAGTATTTCATCTCTTCTTACAGCTGAGTAATATTCCATCGTATATGTGTACCACAGCTTCTTTAGCCAATCATCTATCGTAGGTCACTTCGGTTGCTTCCATGTCCTGGCCACTGGGAATTATGCTGCTATGAACATTGGTGTGCAAATATCTTTATGGATATGATTTTTTAAGTCTTTGGGGTAAATACCCAGTAGAGGAATTGCTGGATCATATGGTAGATCAATTCTTAGTTTTTTGAGGAACCTCCATACTGTTTTCCATAGTGGCTGAACCAATTTGCAGTCCCGCCAGCTGTGTATGAGGATTCCTTTTTCTTCTTGCGGATTAATTTTTGAGAATATTTCACCTTCCCATATAGCTTTGTTTTCAATCAACATTAAAATTGTATTTGACACATGTTTCCCTCACCTCTGCCAATGTACCTGCACAACACCCCCAGCTACTTCAGTACTCTCAGCTAACCTAATTGATTTTGGAAACCACTAGCTGCTCCATATTATCCTTACACTGAACAAAACTTGCCTAAAAGCAACTAAACTCCTCCTCCTCTCTGGAATGCCTCAAACTAGAGTCCTCACCCTGTTTCTGCTTCTGAGTCTCATAAAAGGCCCTTGGTAGCATGGTACCCCATCCCAGATCCATCCGCCATGGTCTGTTGCTTCCATCACCACAGGTTCCACTGGAGTTTGGTCTTTAACTTCTGCAAAACTTCTGACCTTATCTTTGCCCACAAGAGAGCTGGGAAGACCAAGCTTGCTTCATACAATTCTTCCTATCCTACAGACCCAGAGTCTTATTGGTAGGGAAGAACCCAGAAACAAAAATATCATTATTATTATCATTATCATCTTTTTTAAGGTCAGAAGTATCATGCAGCAGGACGATCTCTTATTTGACATAGGTAGAAAAGGGCAGTTCAGCCTGAGGACAGAGTAAAATGTCAGCTGTCTGCTCTATTGCCTGAGTCCTCATAAATACAGATTTCAAATTCAGGTTGAGGCCAGACAACCTATTTAGGGACTTTCGTTGGGCTATTTCTATTGCTCACATTACCCCCTCACTTTGTGCTCAACATGATACCTCTGTACTGAGAAAATTCTTTTTACTGTTTTTCTATTCATATTTTATTTCATCTTTGGTTGCTAAATCTGTTTCAATGGAATTAAAAAGAACTTTAACTTGGTTTGATTCTCAGAATGTGGATCTTGTTTTAACTCTGTGCTTCTCAGAGTTCATGGGTCTATGAGATAAAGATTCAGTGACTTTCTAGAATGTTTACTATACTAAAGATCTTGAGGAGAAAAAATGTATACTGAACTAAACATGTATGTAATATAGCAGGCAAATCTAAATGAACATAAGCTTTCACAGAAATTTATTTCCTGGGAATGCTGGTGGAGTGGGGGGCACAGCTGTCTCTACTGCCCCACCTGTGTCCTTCACTCTTCAGCCTTAAGAAAAGATTGAGAATCCTGGGAAATGTCACTGGGAGGCCACTAGAGGGCACTCACACCTTAATTTTAAGAGGTCCTGCCTGAGGAAGGCATGGGATTGGTTTCCTCACATTTCCGAATCTGGCTCTACTTTGCCTGCAGAGTCCAAATTGAGCAATGCCTTCAAACAGCCAATTGGACAGCTTTGGGGTAGGCCTGGAGGATGTACATGGCAGTATCAAAAGAGCTCTGATTTGGAAATGGGAGATGTGTGGCTTGGTGACTTGGCCACCAGCCAATTTAGAGACCTTGGGCAAGTCTACTTTCTTTTTGCCTTTCTGCTTCATTACCTATAAAATGAGGTCCTGGAGTCACATTGAGGATTTTAAATTGCGCCCTGAAGAGCTCTCTCAGGGGCATATATAGGGAACTCAGTGACCCGGGGATGGGGTGGGTGGTGGTGGTGGTTGGTGCGGATGTTGAAAAGTCTTACCTCTCCTTCAAACAGAGCTGCTTATTTCCATTTACTTCTTTAACTTAAGATCTATTTGAGAACAGTGTCAGTGGTGCTCAGAGAAGTTTGAAAACTGCAGGCTAAGTGATGCCTGGGGCGAGGTTAGGAGAAGGGCTTTCTTGTCAACCTGCTGCTTAAACTAGCTGTCTACGCTCCCGGTTCGCCCGTTTTACCATTTCCTCTTCTTCTTCTCTCCTTTCTGTCAACACCAAGATTTCAGGTAAATCTAAACACACATTCCTCATTTTCTGAGTGGCACTCAAGTGCGCTACCTGAATTGTTCCAAGGCTGAAGCCGGGAAGCCATGGGTGAGGGGCAAAACCATGAAGGGCCTCTTCCCTTGCACATAGGAGGGGTGAGGCCAGGGCAGGAGGCTTGCTGGTCTGCAGCAGTGATGATGGTAAGAGGCCAGGAAGGCAGGACTCCTTGATGGCAGTGATACAGCCAAGGCGGGTCCCCTCCCCTGCCCACCAATGACTCCCATAAACACGTGGTGGCCTGCAAGTCAGTCTTGACTAAACCTAGCCTCCTTGTTGGCTAGGTTAAGAAAGTCATTATTACCACTGCATCCCAAATTCAAGTTCCTGACCAAGTCATTCATTTTTTTCCCATTAAGTCATTGACTGACGCTTATATGCATATATAGTACCCACATGCTAGAAGCTCTGGGGGACAAAGAAAGGCACAAAAGCAGGTTCCTTTTGTCAAAAGATTGTTGTGCATCTTGAAGACAAAGTCTTGTATGTTTCCTTTCTACTTTGTTAGAGCCATCTTGCCTGATGACATCTGCACATAGTGGGCCCTTAAGGATGTTGTAAGAGACTGGGGGTGCTTGCCCAGGCAGTTCTTTCTCCCACCTGGCCTCTTGCTATTGTCCCCAAGAGACAAATAGTATTTGAATGCCAGACGATATTTCTCCTATTTTCCCCTGCAAACATCCTTAGTCCCTGGAACGGACCATTCATCCTATGGAAAACACCAGCCCTCTCTTGCTGTCTTCCCATCAAAGTGACATTGCAAATTTATTGTCTCTAGGTCACCATGACATTTCACAGGCAAGAATCCTGCAGGTGACTACAAGGTTTTGAATGATATCACGCGAATACCTTATATTCTGTGTAAAGGTTTTGATAGTAAACTTTCATAGTGTGAATGTATATCACATCAGAAAAATGATGACCAGTTGGAAATAGGCCAGACAAGACAAATGTATAAGCAGGTTCCAAACTATTCGGCAAATAGAAGTTTAGTGCAGGGATTGATATTATACAAGAACACCAGGAACTCACCCTCGCTTGTTTTAGACACCGTATTCAGCTCAGAAATCCTAGCAGGAGAGAGGAGAATTGGGTGCAAATGTCCTCGAGATTTCATTGCAGGTCCTAAAAAGTAAATATATATTTTAGAAAGACTCAGGAAAGAGAAAATGCCTTTTTTTTTTGGCATTTAAACTTTTTCATGAAAATTTCCAGTTACTAATTTTAAAAACTGAAAATAAATGTATATCGATGTAAAAGCAGTGGCCAAATACTCAGCCAACTACGTTTACAGTGCGTGCTCTCTCAGTATATATATTTATTTGTACACTCACCGCATGCAGATAAAAATAGGAAGTAAAATGAATGAGAAGTTCTTAGAAACTCTTGCACATGGGTACCAGGAGATAGATATTAGAATATATATAATAGCCAAAACTTAAAAAGCACCCTGTATCCTTCTACAGAATGGATGAGCATATCGTGCCCTCGTCATATGGAATCTAGCACAGCTACATACAACCACGTGGCTGAATCTCAGCTCAAGAATGTCAAATGAGAAAAAAACAAAACAACCACCACCAAAAAACCCCCCCAAAAAACAAAAACAAAGCTGCAGAAGGAAATAATGTGCCAGTCTATTTATGTAAAGGTCAAAAATAGGCAAAACTAAATGACATATTGCTTAGGGATTCAAATATATGTGGTAAAACTATAAAAACAGGAAAGAGACTGATCAGCACCGTATTCAGGCTAGTGAACGCCTCGAAGACGAAGAGAAAGGGATGTAGTTTGGGAGGGGCCGTGGACCTTCAAAATTCTTGGTAGAGTTCTTGTTCTTAAACTGGGTGTGGGTGATAGCTGGATGTGCACTGTTAACATGCCCATACATATTTTAGAAAATTCTATTATGTCTACTCACTATTTAACAAAAACGATATGAAAAAGGACAAGATAAAGCAAAGGACCAAAAAAGCCCTCTAATGCTTTTTCCTCACATCTCAAAAGGTTACCCTGCATACTCCCAATAATATAATATAATATAATATAATATAATATAATATAATATAATATAATATAATACAATACAATACAATATAAATAATACTGCTTATATTATAATTTTAATATTGTTATAATATAGACTATATGTTACTTATATGTAAAATATACTTATATGTAATTATCATATTATTAATATAACAGTATATTTTATAGTGTATTATCATATTTTAATATTTTATTACAAAAGATAAGATTTTTATCCTTAAAAAGCAGTGTTTGTAGACTGAGAGCCGAGTAGGGGACAAGAAGTCCAGCTTGGCAGTAACGATGGCATGAGAACAGTCATAATCACTCACCTAGTGAGGTGTTGCCAAGGATGAGAGGGGCTTCGGGGTGTTTCACTTTCAGCTCCAGGAGATCCTTGAGGGTCCCAGGAGAGATCCAGGTAACCCTCTCTCCGTGAAAGTTCAGGGTTCTTTTCTCTGGGTTCTCTGCCATTCTCTAAGTGCAAATGACAAGTGTGTATGCGCATGCGCACACCTGTCTTCCGGGGTTATGTGAGACCCCAGATGGAGGTATGTCCCTCTAGAGAGATTTCAAAGGAGTCCTGGGGCCCCCTTGAGAAGATACTCACTACACCCACTGGCTAATGCCTGAATTTCCACCATTAGATATTTACTCCTTCAGTTTAAGACTTGTTAATATGTATCTCTTTGGCGACAAAGTGACAATATGAGCTGGCACCTGTCATTGACACTTCAGTATAGATTAATTTAACATAATTTGATATTATGGCCTTAAAAATCATAATTATATTAATGCTCCTAAATCACTATCTTCAGCTTGGATTTTCCTCTGAAATCTAAACTTACATATCTGAATGAGTACTCGACGTCTTCCCCCTAGATGTGTAATTGGCATCTCAAATTTAACATGTCCAAAACAGAACTCCTCATATACCATCTTCTTACAGGTCCCTGAAAAGGACACACACGGTGCTGCTCAAAGGTCTTCGTCTTCACTGTAAATGGCCACTCCCCTTTCCAGAGTCAGCCTTGACTCCTCTCTCCCACGCCCCACATCACATCCATCAGTGAGTCCAGATTCCACTTGCTCCTCACCTGTACACCTGTTCGGGCACCCCCATCTCTTAGGATCCTGACGGGGCCCCCTGCTTCTTCCTTTGCGCCTGCGCAGGCTACTCCCACCCAGCAGCCAATGTGACCTCAGATACCAGTACAATGTTAATAGGAGAAGGCGCATACCCCTCAGTGTCCAGCCTCCACTCTAGCGTCTCATCTTACACAGAACAAAAGCCTCAAGTCTGTCATGGTCTGCCTGCCCCGCCTTCCCCCCAGTCACGTTGGCCCTTGCTCTGCCCCTTGATCAGGACCCCTACGTTCTCCTACCGTTTGCACCTTTGCATTTACTGTGCCCGGTGCCTGGATTGCCCTCCCCTCACGTGTCTTGGCGGCGGCTCCCTCACCTCTTTGAGGACGTCCTTCAAATGCTGCCTTCTCAGAGAAGTCTTCTCTGGCTGAATATTTAAAATTGCAACCCCTTGCATTCTATCTCCTTTCTCTGTTTTATTTTTTCTACTCTTCACCTAGTAACAAACTATATGTCTATGATCTATTATTCTGCTTATTTTCTGTCTCTCCCACCAGAAGAGAAATTCCCTAAGGTCTTTGTGTTAGTTTAGCTCCCTGCTGTATATTCAGTACCTAGAACAGGGCCTGGCACGTTGCTGGATAAATAAATACTTATTAAATGCATGAATAAACGCATCAGAATCCCTTTGGAATTAGGTATTTTATAGAATGGGACCTCTGGATGCCTGAGGAGAGAAACAGGGATGCTAAGAAGGGTGAGGAATGGGAGTGGATTGGGGGTGCTGAAGTTCTCCTCGGGGTCAATGGACCGTTGTGACTGGAAAGACCAAGTTAGAAACTGAGCAAAGCTGTATCATCGCCTGAGATAGTCAACAGGGACACATTCTAGATGACAATGATGAGACTAATGATGACGTCATTTAAAAAATAGCCTCAGCCGAGGCTTTGGGGAATGTGCCCAGGGCATCAGTCAGGGCTTGGTGAGCTGGGCAAGGAAAGGCATCTTGATCTGATCAAACATTTTCATAATTTGACAATTTCACAGGAAGGAAGGAGTGCTTTTAGAAAATTGAGTTTATAACCAGTGACATTTAAACAAGCATATAAAACAGCCGATTCATCTTACCAAGAGTTCTGGGGGAAATATGAGCTCCTGGGTAGGGTCCAAAGGCTGGAACTGGTCTTTCGTAAATAACTCTGTGGAAATCTTTATAAAGGGCAGAAGAAGATGGCACTGTCAGCCCAGCTTAACTGGAAACAGCATCGTAATTATTTACTTTAATTATAGGCAAAATGAACATAGTAATAACTCTCCTCGAACAAGGAAATAGTTCAAACCAAATAGTTTTAAGCAACAATTTCGTTCTAAGAGAAATACTGATTTTCCATTAAATGATACAAGAAAGAGT